ACATTATATACTTAATAACCGAAAAATACAATGATTTATGTAATTAATAATAATAATAATAAACGACTTTATTTGATATAAGCATCCACTAACATCAAAAAGGCGAAGTTCAATTAAAGATTGTTCTTCCACTTAACCATAAACTACAATAGTAAGACTGTATTATACTGTCAGTTTAAAATATATAATCTAAAGTATTACATAATAATTACGAAAATAAACTACAAAAATTAAAAATTAAACAAAAAAATAAGTAATACAATTTAGTAAAACAAGAAGACACAAGTGTCAGTGCAAAATATAAATTAAAAGTAGTGCACCAACAATCAAAAATAAAATAATAATTCTTTATAAAAAAAAACAAAATATTTTTATGTTTTTAGAAAGGCAAACTCTGCTTTGTATGCAAATATATTTTAATTTTCCTACGAAAAGAGTTAAGAGTCAGGTTCTTAAGTACTGGTTTGAGGGCATTATAGATTTTAGGTGCGATGTAGCTAAAACAGCGTTGAAAACCAGCAGATAAATGCCTAGGCATAATTAAATTGTTTTGACGTACGCTTTGTCTAACTAATTAATGCATATAATTACATTATATACTTAATAAGTTTAGGGTAGAGTGAAAAAAAATATTTTTTTTCCTTAGCCTGGGGGTGGAATTTGTAGCCTATAAAAAAAGAAAATTTTTGAAAAAAAAAAAAATTTACTCAACGTCTTGAGGTGGCCCACTGATTTTTTAAATTAAATTTAAGTTAAAATTCTTTTGAATAAAAAAAATTTTTTTTGGCTTGTAATCTTCAAATTTATCTAAAAATAAACAAATTTGATCGTGTTAAACTCGAAATTCGCTCTATTGCCTCAGAAAAGCATGTTACTATTTTGGAATTTTTTTAAAAACAACAATAATGACCACAAAATTTTTTTTAAGTTCATAACTGTTAATTAGCAAGAAAGAGGACACTCCGCAGTTTCCGGAATACTTTTGAAAAAAAATTTTTATTCAAAAGAATTTTAACTTAAATTTAATTTAAAAAATCAGTGGGCCACCTCAAGACGTTGAGTAAAAAATTTTTTTTTTCAAAAATTTTCTTTTTTTATAGGCTACAAATTCCACCCCCAGGCTAAGGAAAAAAAATTTTTTTTTCGCTCCACCCTAATACTTATATAAATAAATTTGCTTTAGCTGTCTGCAGCAAATTGCTAGAGTAGCTAGAGCGTAACTACATCTGCAACTAGGTGTTGCAATATTTTTGAGCTTTAATGATTAAAGTTTAATAAATTACTGGAATTAGATAAATTAAGGACCGCGCAGTGCGCAAGCTGGCTGGCTGGAAGTAGTCTGTATTTTTGATCCTCTTAGAGGGATAATACTTTACGCAAGTAAGCAAGTTTTTGCTTCATCCCTTTTGCCCTGTTTTTAAATAAAAAAAAAACATGAAAATTAACATATTTCTCAGGCATTTCTTTGGTAGCCACTGGTTTCGTTGCGTCATCGACGGCAGTGCCGATAAGAACCAAAGTTAAACAACTGACCGACTTTACTTGGTCCGTCGACCACAACAGCTTACACGTTAGGTAGATCATTTTTATGATTTTTTTTATTAAAAAACAGTTGCACTTATTCAAAAGTGATAAAGGAAAAACATTTGATGAAAACTTATTACATGAAACCCTATTTTTTCAAACTTTAAGTTTAAAAATCTGAATACTTTTTCTACCTATTAACCTCTCTGAAGACATTTTATTATAATAAAACCATAATTATAATTCTTCGGTATTTTAAATCTTGCCATTAGGAAATACTGTATTTTGGTTATTCTCATTTTAAAGCCCAAATATTTATAAATACTTTCACACACTTGTTAAAAATCTCGGTCCACAATGGACAACAAATGACCGGAACATCCGAAGTAGAATCGGTGTTTGCTCATAGAAAACGGCATGACTTTTGCGACCGACTCGACAAAAGTGATCTTTTCATACGAACATACGAATAATAATAATACATAAAAATTTGACATATTTGTCCCTCGTGTTCTTTGTTAAAAAGCGTGTAGGTGTTATATTTAGAAAATCGATTCATTATTTACCTAAGCAATAGGTAGGTTTCTTAAAATTTACCGGAAACATAATTTATGTTTTGTAATTATATTGTGAAGGAAATGGGTGGGACAATATTTACTTAACGTAAATCATTTTGAATTTACTAAAAAATACCTTTATATGTGCCTATATAACCCATTTTTTCCACGTGCACAAAAAATGTCCCAAAATTTATAAGAATGATGATGATTTTTTTAATTTCACCTTTAAAATTTAATATCTATTTTCGTACATGTTTTCATGACACTAAGACACCTTGACAAGCAGAGTTGGAAAAACTTTTATCAAAAAGTCAAAAAGTCCGACCTTTTGAATTAAATCAAACTATTTTGAATTAATTCACTTAAAAAAATATTTTTTTGTTTACTAAAACACGGCACAAAGATACAAAAAAACAAGTTTTTATTTTCTTCAAAAATCTTAAACCATAAAATAACAAAACATGCAATTTGTGGCAAAACAAAATAAAACATAAATGAAAAATACGCAACTTCTTAAGAAACTTCATTCGAAAAGTACCTCAATTGGCAATGAAAGAGATGATCCACCTTCAGAAGATAATAATGCTTTTGCAAAATGCTTGTTACAAAAATATTTTATAATCCGCACTATATGGTTCATAACACCTTCAATATTGAGATCTTTGGCATTTTGGCGGAACAGCCATATGTAATAACATTTAACATCATCATAATTTTCTTGTATTTGTGGTCTCATTCTTGCCATATTTATATACGAGGTGTGTTCAGAAAATATCGGGAATTGAATTTTGAAACAAATATTTATTTATTCGTGTACATTAATGTTGTCGCCTTTAAAATAGTCCCCGTTGGATATTATGCACATGTGCCAGCTCTTCTTCCAATACTCGAAACACTTCTAAAACTCGATCTTTGAGATAGCCTTTAGTTCTTTCAGCGATGCGCTTTTAATGTCATCTATGCTTGCAAAACGACGGCCCTTTAAGGTTCTCTTTATTTTTGGGAATGGGAAAAAGTCAGACAGAGGCATGTCTGGCGAATATGGAGGCATCATTACAGTATTGTTTTTGGCCGACAATTTTGTTCAAAATTTAACAATTTTGGAACAAATTTTGCTGTCACGCGTTTCATACCCAAAACATTTGAAAAAATTTCATGGGATGAGCCAATCGATATACCAACATCATCAGCGACTTCTCTGATGGTTTATAACCATTTCTTCCACTTTTTTCATGTTTTTATCGGTTGTTAATGTGCTTGTGCGTTCGGGGCGTTCGTCTTCTTCAACGTCTTCACGGCCATCTAGGAAACTCTTATACCACTTGTAAACTCTTGTTTTACTTATAGCAGACTCACTATAGGCCTTTGTTAACATTTCACAGAATTTATTTCATTTTTAAGCAAAATTGAATACAAATGGATCAAAGACCATTTCTTTTAACGAACAAAAATCGCCGAGCTCATAAAACACGTCTAACCTTAGCGGCTGAAACAGACAAAGTAAACAATGAAAACAGCTAAAGTTTTTATCATACTTCGGGGGCATGTATACCAACATAATAAATAAAATTGTATGACAACCGGACCCTCCGAAGCCGCGAAATTTAACAATTCCCGTTATTTTCTGAACACACCTCGTATATATTAAAGTTGATAATACAATTTGTTTCCATTAAAAAAAAATGAATTAATTCGTGACTTTAAAAAAAAAGTCATTTGAATTAATTCGTGAATTAAATCACTGAATTTATTCATATGAATTAATTCGTGCCAACCCTGTTGACAAGTTGTGGCATTAGTCACGGGTTGAAGTTAGCAACAGATTTTTAGTCACGGGCTTAAGTTAGTTGACAGAACTTGTCAAACAATCGTTAAAATGAAGTGCCTTTCTTGTAAAATAAAATTAAATGTAAAAATTATTTTATTATCTCAATACAAAAATACAAAACTATTGAATAGTTTCTTGACGCCAATATTTGAAAAGATTAAATGAACGTTGTAGTAGTGCAGTTAACTAGATTTAAATGATAAAGCGTTAAAAAATTACAGTGCCCACACTCTATTCTCTTTTACTGTGAAAAACTGCTTCTATATAGATTGTTAGTCCATTTTCAAGGGATAACGCCGGTAGATTCCCAAGTTAGAAATTCTAACGGGAATTTCAATAACTGTCACTTTTTGTACCTTTAACATTTCCCGTGTAAGATTTTTTAATACTTGAGATAATATTTTGCAATTATAGTAATAAAAAAAATCAAAGGATAAAATATTTTCTCAACATAATCATATTTTGAAGTTATTTTAATATTTTAAAGTATAAATAATTGTTAAGTTTAATTGAAATAATAATAACGGGCAATGTTAATGGTAAAAATAACGTCAAAAATGTTTATTGGGATGGTTACTTATTTTATTTTATTACTTATTTTATCATATTTTAAGATAATAATAAGTATTTGTCGTAGAAAAAGTATAGTATCCAACTCGTTTATTTCTAGGCACTCATTTAATTAAGCACATTGCCTACATTACATTCGTGACTAAAATGGCGTTTATCAAACTTGATATATATATTATAATATACTGTTGTATGCACATGTGCCTATATTACTTATTATTTCCATGTGCACAAAAATATAAGAAAAAAAATGTCTTACAAGTTATAAGAATGATGATGATAAAGTATTTTTAACGTTCTTATAATTGTCGACTAATTTCTGAAGCTATGTATCAAAAATTGTACTGAAAAAAGTGGAATAAACATATTAAATGTAGGCAACATTTGTGTGTGAGCGTATAATGGGTTGCCTAATATCAGACATATGAACGAAAAAATAGCGTTCTCCTATCAACTTGACATTAAAACGCAATTTGACCATTAAGAAAATAACTTTGACAGTTTTTTTACGACTAGAAATGCACCAGGACAGCGACATATTTTGTTTGAAGGAGACCAAAGCTGGGGAGAACGATGGCAGAGGAATATTTTCCATCAACGGGTCTTGCTCGATGAGAATCAACAGAAAACCCAACGCGCATCACGAGGATGCTTTCCAGTATGGAAGCATCAATATGCCGAATCGCGTGAACCCGGCTGAACCTGTCGAAAGCGAAAATGGAGTTCAGGAGAGAGGAGTTGCTTCTGAAGCAGTAACTGAAGAATATAGATCTGAAGAAGAAGTGGAACCAGTCGAAGCAAGGGAAGACGATAAAGCTGAGTTCACTGATGAAATGTCAAAGGAAGTGTACGATAAATTCATCGAAGACATGAAGCAAGACCTCGGCGAGGATGTAGTTGAGTCCATCAGGAAGAAAACCGTTGAAGAAAGCACCGGTAAAAAAACCCCGCCTCAAAAAACAACCGGTAAGAAAACCTCGCCGAAATCAAAGAACAAACCGGTTTTCAAAAAGGTGAATAAGGTGGAGGAGCCGGTAAGTTCTTCCCAGATCATGAGGAATCCGTTAACTGGAGCCGGTATGGAATGCGACGAGCACAAAAATCAAAGAAAGAATGTCAAAAACACGCGATCCAAGGATGGTAAATGGCTATGGTAGTTTATACTATACGATATATATTGTAATTTTTTAATAAACAAAGTATTTTATTTTACATTATTTAACATTTTGGTGGTCTACTTTCTCAAATATCATCCTTGCATATACAAATAAAAACTATTAGGAAAATGATATTGCAAGGGAGATATTTCAGAAACAGGAATTAACAGAATCGAAACAATTAAACCTGCAGGAATGAAGAAAGAAAAAGATAAGAAAGCAGAAGAATATGCATCTGAAGAGGAGCTTGAACTTGACGAAGAAGATTCAATCATCAATAAATTCATTGAAAATATCAAAAAATATCTTGGCGATGACGTTTTCGAGGCTATTAAAAGGAAGACCATTGAAGAGGTCCGTGGTAAAAAAGCTCCTCATCCGGAAGCAAAGAGCAAGAAGGTTTTGCCTAAATTGAAGAAACAACCAGAAGTCAAGGAGGCCAATAAAGTGGATGAGCCAGTATGTGCTTCAATGATTCTTCGAAATCCTTTAACAGGTGCCGGCATGGAATGCGAAAAATTTAAAGACCAAAGAAAACATATAAAGTCAAAATTTGGTAGTTGGATTTGGTAGTTTTTTTACTATAGTTGGATATTGTAATGTTTAAATAAATATATAAATAAAAAGTTTATTTATTCTTTAATAAACTGCACCAATTTAATTTACTAATGCGCCCTAAAGCCACAACTTGTCAATGTTTATTTAAAGGTGTCATGAAAAAATGTACGATAATGGGCGTTTTAAAGGTGGGAGGAGAAAAATGGTTTTATTTGATTATGATTGACTTTGAATGTAAACTTTAGATTTAAATAATTAAATGTTTGAAATAATATAATATAATATATAATATAATAATATAATATATTATTATACAAGAGATAATGCAGGCTATTATTCACAAGGATAAGGTTTGCGTCTCTTCTAATCGCCAGTGTAATACTATACTTTATCAAATCCAAAGTAGATAATTAAATGATTTTTAAAAGTAAATAAATCAAATCTCACATATATCAAATGGCTAACCTTACTTTTTACCAAGTCGCCAACCCAACCCAACCCGATGGGTTCAAATCATGAATATTGAAATCGGCCAATCACTGATGCCTAACAATGTGAATAATTCATTATTCCCGTTGTCAGGCATTTATAATGTTTATCATTATTCAAGGAAAAATCACAATATTATACAAGTTTTTTAAATGTTTTTAAAATATCGTTTAAAATTAAAATTGGCTTTACTCGACAAAAAAGTATAAATACCTATATATAGGTATACTTTTTCGCGTGAATTCTTTCACTCGCCTATTGGCTTGCTTGGAAACTATCATCTATCGGGAGTGTAATGACCGCCGATAAGAGCAACTCAGACTCTTACTTTGTGTTTCAAATTGTCTAAATTTGGAGATTTGCTTCAATCGACCCCATAAATAAAAGTCCGCGATTGTTAAGTCAGGACTTCAGGCAGGCCATACAACTGGACCGTTCCGCCCAATCTACTTCTTCCCAAATTTATTATTTAACCATTGCACAACTGAGCCTGACAACCATCCTGTTAAAAATAACAGCCAAGGAGATAATCAAGAAATAGCTCGTCAAGATTGTTATCCAGAAAGTTTTAAAGCATTGCCAAATAAGTTTGCTAAGTGTTGAAAAAATACCATGATAAAAAATTGCACATGATAGCTTTGGCCAAGTATTATTCAAAAATAATGTTTCGGCGAAAGTATCTTAGCCCCTAAACACAAGCAAAACGCCTAGCTGAATATTTGATTGTTTCGACCTTTACTTGATGAAACTCCATATTATTATTATTATGTAGATATAAAAACAAATATGTTTTGAAAGTTTCACGTGTTTTATTTACTTTTGACAATTGTTTCGTCACACAGTGACTTCTTTAGAATGTATTTATAACTTATTATTAAGTGAGTTTATATAACACAATGTTTTATGGTACAAAAATTTTTTGGTCTACCTGAATAATATTTGCTTAATACATTGAAAGAGAGTATAATATTCAGGAAAATACTGTACTGCAATAAATTAGGTTTTTCCATTATACTCTCTTTCAATGTATTAAGCAAATATTATTCAGGTAGACCAAAAAATTTTTGTACCATAAAACATTGTGTTATATAAACTCACTTAATAATAAGTTATAAATACATTCTGAAGAAGTCACTGTGTGACGAAACAATTGTCAAAAGTAAATAAAACACGTGAAACTTTCAAAGCCTAGCTGAATCTTTAGGTTCCAATACATGGTCGAATATCGGCTTGTAGGGATGCTTCTTAATTCCTTATAAAATCCTCTGCAAATGAGATTTGCTAATTCCCAGTTGGAGTGATCTCCTTCTCGAAGATAGTAATCCCATACTGAATCCATAACAAGAATAGTTGCAGTTCCCGAACCAGTTTCCAAAAACTTTCTAACCAAATTTCGAGCAGCGTTAGTTGATACGTGGATATCTGGATTTTCCTCATGGCATTCCTAGACAACTCCACAGTAACTCTTATATCCTCTTTCATAGCACTGTACCAAACAAATTATATGCTTTTTCAACATTTTTCAACTAGTTTATCCTAATATTTATCCCTGAGTCGTTCTAAGCAATACTTTTTTATTTAACGTCATTACAACTAGATCTTTTATCTATGATATAAACTAATAACAAAACCATAACCATAGAAACGCTTTATATTTTTCTATGCATAGATGCATAGAAAAAATAGAGATCTCTAAAACTGGGGGAAATTGGTAAAAAAATAAACTGAATTAGCCATTTCGAAACAAGCAAAAACTTGAAAAAATAAAAATAAAAACGTTGTTCCTCTTATGAAGTCGAATTCTGGACATACTGTTTAAGCAGTACTTATGTGCACTTGAAAAAATAAAGAAAAAAATGTCTCAAAAGTTATTAAAATGATTTACAAACTGATTTCTGATTCTTGTTGGAATAATCTGGATAATTGCACAATCCACACAACAAGGTCTGTTCGATCTCGTACTAAAAATACTAAAAATCACTGCAACACTGCATTCAATGGCGGCCATTTTTGTAGTTTAGAATTCTTGTGCTTTGGGTTTGTACAGATTAATAATAGTTTTAAACGTTGTTTCTTACAGAGAGACTTGCAAGACTTAAAAGAGACCTCAAAGTGACAAGAACAATCATGTTACTCCTCTTTTGTAAAAATAAACCTAGGGCTGTCAAATGTCAATTTGAAGGTTAATTTGTGGGTTATAAAATAACCTTAACCTTAATCTTTACAAACGCAAAGCACGAGAATTGTAAACAACAAAAATGGCCGCCATTTAATGATGTGCAGTGTTGCAGTGATTTTTAGTGGATTGTGGATAATTGTATCAAAAATATCGAAGCGTATAATCGGTTGCCTAGTATTACACAAATAAATTAACTTTCTCCTATCAACTTGACATTAAAATCCTAAAATTAAAACGCAATTTCACCATCAAGAACAGAACTTTGGCACTTTTTATTCGACTGAAAATGCACCAGGACAGCGACATATTTTGTTTGAGGGACACCAAGGCTGGGGAGAATGATGGCAGGGGAATATTTTCCAGCAACGGGTCATGCTCCATGAGAACCAATAAAAAACCCAACGTCTATCATGAGGATGCTTTTCAGTATGGAAGCAGCACTAAGACTAATTACTTTGCGAACCCTGTTGTTGAAAGGGAAGATGGAATGCAGGAGAGAAAAGTAGAAGTCGCTCCTGAAAGAGTACCTGAACCTGCACGTGAAGAAGAAGTAGTGGAACCAGTGGAACCAGTGGAAGTAATGGAAGACGATGTGGTTTTGCCGAAGGCAGAAGTCGAAAATGCCAATAAAGTGGAAGAGACTGAAGCTGAATTTGCTCCTGAAGTAGTACTTGAACAGGATACATGTGCAGAAGAAGTGGAACCAGTCGAAGTGAAGAAAAGCGATGAGGTTTTGCCAAAATTAAAGAAAAAAACAGTATACCAGAAGGCCAATGGAGTGGATGAAAAAGTTAGTTCTTCAACGATTCTTCGAAATCCTTTAACAGGCGCTGGTATGGAAGGCGAAGAATTGAAGGACGAAAGAAAACACATGAAGTCCAAGACTGGTAAATGGATTTGGTAGTTTTGTACTAGAGTCTATGTAATGTAATATTTAAATAAACAAAAACAAACGATAAGTGTACTTATTTACGCGTGTTAGAACTTATTCTTCTTTGGCGTTACAGAAAAAATACATACATATAAGTAATATAACTTTGATGATTTTACAATTTTTAGGAAAGTTTTTAAATAATATGTATAATTATATACTTTTATTTGCAACTATACAGGGTGTTTCAAGTTCATGGTCCTTTAAAAATAGACTATATACGAGGTGTGTTCAGAAAATATCGGGAATTTTGGTTTTTTGAAACAAATATTTATTTATTCGCCTAAATTAATGTTGTCGCCTTAAAAATAGTCCCCATTGGATATTATGCAAATGTGCCAGCTCTTCTTCCAATACTCGACACACTTCTAAAACTGGATCTTTGGGATAGCCTTTAGTTCTTTCAGCGATGCGCTTTTAATATCATGCTTGCAAAACGACGGCCCTTTAAAGTTGTCTTTATTTTTGAGAATAGGAAAAAGTCAGACAGAGGCATGTCTGGCGAATATGGAGGCTGGGGCATCATTACAGTATTGTTTTTGGCCAAAAATTTTGTTCAAAATTTAACAATTTTTGAACAAATTTTTCTGCCACACGTTTCATACCCAAAACATTCGAAAAAATTTCATGGGATGAGCCAATCGATATACCAACATCAGCGACTTCTCTAATGGTTTATAACCATTTCTTCCACTTTTTCCATGTTTTTATCGGTTGTTAATGTGCTTGTGCGTTCGAGGCGTTCGTCATCTTCAACGTCTTCACGGCCATCTTGGAAACTCGTATACTACTTGTAAACTCTTGTTTTACATATAGCAGACTCACTATTATAGGCCTTTCACAGGATTTATTTCATTTTTTAAGCAAAATTGGATACAAATTCTTAGATCCATTTCTTTTAACGAACGAAAAATCGCCGAGCTCATAAAACACGTCTAACCTTAGCGGCTGCCACAGACAAAGTAAACAATGAAAACAGCTAAAGTTTTTATCATACTTCGGGGGCATGTATACCAACATAATAAAGAATTTTATGACAACCGGACCCTCCGAACCCGCGAAATTTAACAAATCCCGTTATTTTCTGAACACATCTCGTAGATTATAAACTCATTTAAAATTTCTAATGGAACACGAATGTGAAACACGCTGTATGAGGAGCTACAGTAACTCCGCAAAACGTAGTTTAAAAAAAAATGCTTAGTTTAAAATGCAGTTTCTATTTTTTCCAAGAGATAGATAAAGAACAAAAAAACAATATTTTGACAACAAACTTGTAGTAAATTATTGCATTTTTCTTTACACTTTTTAAAAAAACACTAATTTCTTGATCCAATGTGTGGCAAAACAAACATCTAACATAAACGGAGTTTGCTTAGCACTAGAGCTCTCTGGACACATGCCCCAATTGCCTTAAGGTAAAATGGTACCGGCCCCAACGTAAAACTTTTACTACTAACTTGGTTATTCGTCCCAAAGTAGGACTTTAAAATATTACAATATGTAGGTACGTACTTAAGTATCAAATCCCCAAGATAAACGAATAATTATATTTGAAAGACACAACCTTTCGTGGGAGTTTATAGTTCTCAAGGTGATAAACTTCAACAGATTTCTACTGACCACAAATTAACCATAAATTTCAATCACAGTCTGTTGAATATAAAAATCGAATAACTTTGATATTGGGGTAAAATGGGCGGTTGTTTACTTTGCTTATAACTTATAAGTTATCATTGATTAAACAACTATTCAGTTAACTCAGTCGGGCCAGATGAGTCAGCTTAGGTTTTTTATAAAAAACACATTTATTCTTATCTATATCTGGTTTAGATATGAATGTCTATTTATAATATGGATAAGTAGTTCTAATCATATAACCAAATACTTGGTAACGACAAAATTTGAGCACAAAATTAGGTATTATACTATACATATAGATGTATACATTTAAACATGGAAGAAGAGAGCATCATTGAAATCATTGATCATGATTCGGACAGCCAAAGTAAGTGTTAATAAATAAATGCATTTTTCTTTCATATATTTAGTAAATCAACAATTATACTTTTAGGTTCAACATTTGCTCTCGAATCAAAATTACAGAAAACAACAGAAAAAGGAAATAAAGTTGAAGTGATTCAAATATTGACTCAAAATCCAAATTTATTGGACGCGAAAATATTCAGAATTTACAAATCAATATTGCACTATTACTACCAAAAAAATGACAGAGAAATGGTTGAGGAAATAATAAGGATTGGATATGAAAAGAGTAGGGATCCGTTTTATGCAGTAGCCAGTTGCGAAGCATCTCCATCATTAAATAAAAATGAAACTAAAGAGGGAGATACGCCGTTAATGTTTCTTTTAAAGTACGGGCAATACAACCACAAAGACTTTATGCAGCATTTAAATATGTTGTTAACAGAAATAAATATGAACAAAATGGATTATTATCACAAGACGCCTCTTATGATTGCACAACAAAAAAACGCCACTGATGTTGTTGAATTGTTAAAAAAGAAAAATGTTTTGGTCGATGTTTTAACTGAATTATTTAACTTAATAATACAAAAAAAATCAACTGAATTTGGGGAACTGTTGAGTCACAATATGCACCTTAAAAATTGCGATGACGGCGAAAATACTCTTCTACAGTTGTCCATAATTTATTGTCCAAATATAACAACATTTTTACTAAGCATTGATGTAGACGTCAATAGAACAACAGAAAGAAGTAACAAATTTCCACCGATACTATTGGCTGCATTGTTCGACGAAGAACAAATATTCCATGCCTTGGTGAACAATAAAACTTTAAAGATCTCGCAAGATTTGTTTTGCAGTTTTTTGATATATCGTTCCAATAAAGTGAAGCCCAAATATGTCAAAACTTTATTGGAATGCGACAATTTGGACGTTAATTACACCACAAAACAAGACAATACACCGCTACATTACGCAATCATTTTTCATCATACAGATGCCACCAAAAGTTTATTGAAGAGAGGAGCTTCCTTAACGAAGAAAAACAAAAACGGGAAAACTTGTCTGAGCATGATAAATCCTAGCGTCCTCCACGAATATTTGGACTCTTGCATTGTGTTTGATAATTTTAACAACGATATAAGGTGCGCGCGGTATAAAATAGTGTTCAATTTTCAAAATATCGTTGATAGAAACGATGAAATAGATTTGGTCCGAAAAATGGGATCCAAAAATAGTTTGAGGAATATTTTTAACCATCCATTGGTGGAAATTTTAATTCACATGAAATGGCATTTGGCAAAACCGTTATTTATTGCTTCCGTAATTTTAAGGTTTATATACTACTTATTAATAACCATTCTTTTGGTTTCTAAAATACATTACCCTATTTTTATTGGTATGATTGTATTAGGTCAAGCAATCATAACTTATAATTTTCTGTACATAAAAGATTATAAGAAAAATAATGTTCATGGGTTTTTTGAGGCACTGTTACTTTTGAATCTATTATCACAATTAATAATTTTGCTAATCAATTTTGAAATAAAAAGTTTGGAGCCCTTTGCCTATGTTATTATGTCCATAATATTTACATTGCATATAGGATACCACCCAAATCTTTCCAAATGGGCAGCTATGCTCCAAATGGTATGCAAAACATTTTTTAAATTGTTTTGCTTATTTTTTATTCCTATCCTGGCGTTTACGTTAGGTTTTTATCAGTTATTTTACAAAAACAAACCTTTCAAAAACATACAGGTATCATTGTTTACTGTACTGGTGATGTTAACAGGCGAATTTGATGCCAACGATAACTTTGTAAATGACTCAGTTGATTTTTTTGATCAAGTATTCTTTATTTCATTTCTAATCTTGATGACTGTTATTTTGATGAATTTCTGGACGGCCGTTACCGTATCGGATATAAGTAAACTCGAGAAAGACAGTGCTACAGTTGCGGCCAAACACACCCTAGGATTTCTACAGTTTGCTGAAAAAGTATACAGAACTTCATTGTATAGGTTTATAGAAAAAACTTTATGTTTAAAAGCACCTTTTCTTTCTGCCAACTGTTTATCAGAGAAGAGGTCAAAAAATTGTAAAAAATTTATACAAAACAATAAAAAAGAAACCATATGTAAGGTTGAGTGCCACATTAATAGACAGAAAATGTTCACAAACAATCTTGATACCTTCAAACTTAATAGTCACCTTGTGTGTAGGGTTTTTGAGTTTTATGAACATAGGAAAAAAAATAAACTCGCACTAAAAAACGAACAAGAATTACGGAATGAGATTAGAACTATAAATCATATTTTGGAAAGACTTGAAGCTAGAGTAGCTGCTCTTACACCACTAACCAGAAACCATAGTGTACCTTAGTTATGTTTGATTATATTATATTTAAAAAATAAATTTCTGAAGATAACAGTTTATTTTAGATTACCTTAATCTGTCCTTAAAGATATGAGATGATAATACTAAGTAGAAGCAAATCATTTGTGAGTTTTAAATTTGCAATGGCCAGCGAATACAGTTCTCTGCTTATTGAAAAGGATATACGTTCAGAAGAAATTCAAAAACAAGGCCATGATTACAAAGGTAAACATGCATATATATTTAAAAAAAAATACATCTAAAGTATAATTTTTAGCTGCCTTAAAAGTGTTTGATATTCTTCGTACGAACCCGAAGAAAATAGATGTGGAAGTGTTCAAATCGACATTGCAAGAATTTCCGCACATCATAAACTACAATTTTTTTAACGAAAACGATTACTGCTCTCTTTTGAACATTGTTAAATACAAATTGAAATTGGATTCTAAGAAGAGGCGTGAACTTATGAACGTCATTATCGAAATCGGTTTTACAACTGTGGACCCCATATTTTACGCTGCCGCAGGCTGCAATTCAATTTTTTTGGAAACTTGTGGTTTAAGTAATGATGATTTAATTTGGGTGAAAACTGGTGATACCTTATTGGCCTTTCTGTTAAAATATGGTGACCCCCTTAAAGAACATTATGTGCACTGTGTGGAAAAGCTACTTAGTGAAGAAAATGTCAACAAACTTGACTACTCCCAACAAACCCCCTTGACTATTGTGCTAAAGGAATATTTTGTTTCATCGGAAGAAGAAAAGAATGTCTTAAACGACGTTGTAAAAACTCTATTGGAAAAAGGAGCAAGTAGGCTAAGAATACCAGAATTCATGGTAAAAAAATTCGAAGAAAACCATTACAAACTAAACTTCCAGGACGCCGTGGTATCAATGAGAGCAGAACAAAAACTATTCGACTACATAATCAGAAATGAACCAACCAAATTTACGGCGTTATACCAATCATCAAAATTTCTTGATGTTAATGATGGTGAAAACACCTTGCTCCAATTATCTGTAATACTTAACAGACTACCAATAGTCAAAACGCTTCTTAAGTCAGATATTAATTTTAACGGATTTACTGCAAGAAATTTACACTGCCCCTTGGTGCTGAGTGCCATTCTGAACAAAAAACACATTTTCCAGATACTAATCCCAAATGTCGTCATCACACCAGGAGTCTTCAACACGTTTGTGAGATTTCGATGCCTTAGCATGCTGGAAGAATACTTTTATGACGTTTTAAAATCACCCAAGTTGGACGTTAACATGAAATCGTATCAAGGCAACACACCTCTACATTTCGCCATTATATTCGGGGATTCGTCCTCTGTGCAGACTCTGTTAAAACGGGGGGCACCTCTAACTGCAAAAAACCAATTCGGCATGGAGTGCATTAATTTTATAAATACCAACGACTTGGAACTGCACTACGATTCGTGTATCAAGTTTGACGAATACAAGCGGATTCTAAAGGATACCGTTTCGAAGGTAACTTTGGATTTCACCACTTTGGTTCAGGATTGCCGTTCTGAAGTTGAAATGGTTAAGCAGTATGGTTCCCAGTCGGGAACGAAAAAATTGTTGCAGCATCCTCTTGTCGATATTTTTATGAACATCAAGTGGTACCTTTGCAAGAAGTATTTTTATAGCTACGCAATTTTCAAAATCCTTAATTGTTACATGATATTTTTAATTTTACTTAGCAATCACTTGAATTCGGTTTATGGTTTGCTTATTTTTGAAGCTTTGTTCTACATAATTTGGGTAATATTAAGTTATAGATTTTTTCGCCATTCGGGTTCAGATTTTATATGCTATTGTTTGTTGAGTATATTTTTAACAATCGATGTAATCTTGATAACATTATACAAGTTTAATTTTTGTGAGATTTCACTTCTGGTTATTAAGCAGGTTAATTCCATTATTTTTGTTCTTATTTCTGCGTCGATAATTATTACGTTGGGTTATAAATTAAATTGTTCCAAATGGTCTATAATGTTACAAAAGGTTGTAAGCACCTATTTTATAAACATGATGTTCCTAATATTACCTTTGTTGGCATTTGCAACCGGTTTCACCCAACTGATGTGGAAAGACGACCATAAATACGACCTATTCTATTCAATCTATAAAACAACCCAAACTCTTACAGAAAAAGCTTTAAGTAAGGATTTCACTTTGACCGACACGGAAAACAATAACTTTGTTCATATATTTATCACATTTTTTATCATTTTATCGATAGCAATAATGAATTTTTTTACTGGCCTTGCCGTCAACGACATTCAAAGGTTGGGCAAAGATTGGGAAATTATTTCGTACAATAACGTTATAGTTTTCATATCATTCGTAGAAAAATTTTACTTACAGTTCCCCAAACTCTGTACAATATTGAGACTTCCTAGACCGTTTATTTTTACCGAGGATACAAAATACCAAGTTGAGATGTTTGTTCAGAAGAACGAAGAATTCAAAAGCATCAAGAGATTGGCAAACTTTAAATTAAGCAAGATATCGAAGGCTAAAATATCGGAAGTTTTCCAGAAAAAAATGACGAAAAGTATCGATGATAAACTAAAGGATGCCATGGGTAGAATAGAGCATACTACACAGGAAACTCTTCTGAAAGTTTTACAGGAGATTAAGGAGCTAAAGTGTGAATTACAATTGTATAGAAACCAATTAAATGTTAACCAATAAAAATTATTAAATTTATCACCAAATTGAATTATTCTTTTTTAGCATTTACATAACAATAATACTTAACAGACTACTAATAGTCAAAACACTTCTTAATTCAGATATTAATTTTAACGGATTTACTGCAAGAAATTTACACTGCCCCTTGGTGCTGAGTGCCATTCTGAACAAAAAACACATTTTCCAGATACTAATTCCAAATGTCGTCATCACACCAGGAGTGTTCAACACGTTTGTGAGATTTCGATGTCTTAGCATGCTGGAAGAATACTTTTATGACGTTTTAAAATCACCCAAGTTGGACGTTAACATGAAATCGTATCAAGGCAACACACCTCTACATTTCGCCATTATATTCGGGGATTCGTCCTCTGTGCAGACTCTGTTAAAACGGGGTGCACCTCTAACTGCAAAAAACCAATTCGACATGGAGTGCATTAATTTTATAAATACCAACGACTTGGAACTGCACTACGATTCGTGTATTAAGTTTGACGAATACAAGCGGATTCTAAATGATACCGTTTCGAAGGTAACTTTGGATTTCACCACTTTGGTTCAGGATTGCCGTTCTGAAGTTGAAATAGTTAAGCAGTATGGTTCCCAGTCGGGAACGAAAAAATTGTTGCAGCATCCTCTTGTCGATATTTTTATGAACATCAAGTGGTACCTTTGCAAGAAGTATTTTTATAGCTACGCAATTTTCAAAATCCTTAATTGTTACATGATACTTTTAATTTTACTTAGCAATCACTTGAATTCGGTTTATGGTTTGCTTATTTTTGAAGCTTTGTTCTACATAATTTGGGTGATATTAAGTTATAGATTTTTTCGCCATTCGGGTTCAGATTTTATATGCTATTGTTTGTTGAGTATATTTTTAACAATCGATGTAATCTTGATAACATTATACAAGTTTAATTTTTGTGAGATTTCACTTCTGGTTATTAAGCAGGTTAATTCCATTATTTTTGTTCTTATTTCTGCGTCGATAATTATTACGTTGGGTTATAAATTGAATTGTTCCAAATGGTCTATAATGTTACAAAAGGTTGTAAGCACCTATTTCATAAACATGATGTTCCTAATATTACCTTTGTTGGCATTTGCAACCGGTTTCACCCAACTGATGTGGAAAGACGACCATAGATACGACCTATTCTATTCAATCTTTAAAACAACCCAAACTCTAACAGAAAAAGAAAAAAAAGGATTTTACTTTGACCGACACGGAAAACAATAACTTTGTTCATATATTCATCACATTTTTTATCATTTTATCGATAGCAATAATGAATTTTTTTACTGGTCTTGCCGTCAACGACATTCATAGGTTGGGCAAAGATTGGGAAATTATTTCGTACAATAACGTTGTAGTTTTCATCTCATTCGTAGAAAAATTTTACTTACAGTTTCCCAAACTCTGTACATTATTAAGACTTCCTAGACCGTTTATTTTTACCGAGGATACAAAATACGAAGTTGAGATGTTTGTTCAGAAGAACGAAGAATTCAAAAGCATCAAGAGATTGGCAAACTTCAAATTAAGCAAGATATCGAAGGCTAAAATATCGGAAGTTTTCCAGAAAAAAATTACGAAAAGTATCGATGATAAACTGAAGGATGCCATGGGTAGAATAGAGTGTACCACACAGGAAACTCTTCTGAAAGTTTTACAGGAGATTAAGGAGCTAAAGTGTGAATTACAATTGTATAAAAACCAATTGAATGTTAATCAATAAAAATTATTAAATTTATCACCAAATTGAATTGTTCTTTCTTAGCAATTAGTGTTTAATATATGTTGAATAATAGCGACGATGTTTGATTCATGACATTATTTGCACAAGTACCATATATATAGAGGGTAGTGGTCATCGGCCCGGTTAGGTCTGCAATGGACTAGATAGTGCGTGTTTAATTGCAGGGATACGGAAAGTTACTGATATGTCTGTCATCCTATTTAAAGACCCTCTGTATGTTGTATATAAGGGTCATTACACTATTAAGGCTTTTTGCCATTTGTCCCTAACATTTCTTATTAAAAAAATAATAAACTTAGACAACTAATATAAAACTAGATTCATAATTAAGATATTAAAATAAAATAAAAAAATGGGTCATTTTCAAGAAACACACGCTTTCAGGAAAATGAAATTTTTTTTTGCTTAAATTGACTTTTGGTTGGATTTTTATAAATTTTTAGAGTTTTGTTTACTTACATTTAAGACAGGCAGTGCACTTTTTAATTTTTTTTACGTTTTTTTAGAAAAATGTGTTTAGGTAGCTTAATATGTATATCTCCACTGTGTTACCAATTTGAAATTTAAAATTTAATTCAATAAAAAAAAGTAAATATTTTGAAATAAAATGTACTTAGTTCACAAACTTTTGACTCCAATTTTTTATTTTATTTTGTATTATGTATGTTCGTTAAGTTACTTTTTAAAAGAATCCATTCCGATCCTTTGTTAAAAAACAATACCATTAATATTTTCTTTTAGTCACTGTATTAGTGAGTTAAACTCTAATTTATAAACACGTATTACCAAGTGATAGTGTATAAAAATCATTTTAAGTATTTTTTTTAACAAAAAAAATAACGAAATAGACATTGGTATCACAACGGACTGGGGTACACAATCAGATAACGTAAAAAAGAAACTATAAAGGGTGGTAGGATTTTAGAGTAATGCATAAACAAAATCCCTTGTAGTGGTGCTCACTTGCATGCAGAATAACAACTTAGATTTCTAAATTATAGACACCCTTTTTCTTTGACTATAAGCTGGTGTCTTTTAGTACTTGTATATTGCGTGGAATTTTCCCTTGGATGTAATCTATATCATGAGTTGTAATCACAAATAATTTTAAATTGGTTTATCATAAACTACTTTTAATAAAAGCGACGGTAAATATCCACTTTGTTGTTGAAAAATTCTATTGCGTTACCCTAAATTCCATTGCGTTACCAAAAGGTAACATAATGGACTCGGTAACGCAGTGGAAAAAGTTTTGTGAAACCATATTTAAAAAATATTAATAAGACATTACAGTCATTAATTACTTTCAATGAGCTTTAGTGCCCTAAAATAAACACAAACATCAAAAATAGTATTTTTTCTTACCTTATTTTTATTATTTTTTTGAGTAACTTAGCGGACAAACAATTATTACATTCGCGTTACCCGCACATGTTTCAACCGATATCTTCTTCCTGATTGAATAAATAAATTCAGCTGGGTAATGTGTACGTCCGAACATCATTTGTTGATCACGTCCCAGTCAGCAAGGTTACGTGTTTTTGACGTGAAATACTGGTATTTTTTTACGTCAGTTTCACCTTTTAATTGACGTAATAGAGCCGTAAAGATGACGGTAATATGTCTCAGCTAAAAGACGTCATTAAGGGCCGTCTATTCGACGTTAATTTTACCGTCATTTCGCCGTTAATTTTGTCGTCTTTCAGGACCAAAATAAGACCAAGTATTCACCAAAATATATTCTTTATTAAAAACAAAAAATATTTTCTTTTAATTAACTAAAGTATCTAAAATAAATAGTATATACTATTTAACAATAAATAAATTCTTAAAAACATTGAAACATATAACATATTATGTTATTACATTTTATTATATTTTAAAACAAAAGTAAAATATTGACCTAAGTTAATAAGTAGTTTTTATTTTATAGTATTTTTTATTTTATTAAAAAAACCTACAAAAAATATACCAAACTGTATATTTTTGGTAGTTTTTTTTAATTAAATAGAAGTAAACTGTAACTTGCTTTCAATGATTTTTCTTACTTATAACAATAACTGTTTTTTAAACAAGAGAATGTATTAATGGAAAGGCAGCAAGACATCCATCCTCTCCCTCCTCTGGGCTGTCTCCTATGAAATTGTTTGTTGGTCTTGAAGGGCGGCCAAAAGATCTTTCTTTCTTGGCGTTAGCCATTTAATATTTATGATTTCAATACCACATCCGTCATTCTCCTCAAACTCGATTCCAGCAAAATTCATCACTGTCTTGTTCCCTACAATGATGTGTCCACTTAGTGAAAGAAACACACAAGTACCTTATCTTGTAATAAACAACTAATATTCATATATTATAGTATTGAATTAACCTTCTCTTTAGTTTGCAAAAAAACACATTTATTCATATGCATTTAGGAATTAAAACAAATTATAAATAATAATGAGCAATAAACAAAGAATTAGGGGGTATATTCAAAACTTTAATTAAATTAACATAACCTAAAATTCGCTGGCCGCTTTAACCCAATAAGCAAAAAAAATAAACAGAAACATCTTACCTTAGAATTGAAATGTTCAGAACAGCGATTAATTTTTCAGAGCAGCAATTAATTTTTATCAAATATGCAATTTAAACGCCTTTTTATAACCGCCAAACATGCTCGTTTCGTTGGACCATGGAAAAGAACGTTTCAAGCGTCACCCGCCAGAGGGTTCTATCGGCAGTCAAAGCGCGCGATTTAAATTTAAGGGTCTGCAATTTGAAACTTAATTAATTAATTAACTAATATTATGACGATGAATCGTCATAATATTATTTTATGGGCAGGAAGACGAAAGTCGTTAGCCATTTGGATTTTCCATTAAAGTTTATTATTATTATTATTATTTTACTTTAAAATTTCAAAGTTTATAAAATTTATTTTATCATCATTTTATATTTAATTATTCTTATATAATTAATAATTCTTATATAAATCTTTACAGCATGGTAAATTTCACAACATTCTAAATTAAAAGTTTTCTATAAATACTTGCATCGTGTAAAGCGGTTTTAAAAAAATACTTAGCAAGTCCAATATCCCAGGCAACACAGGGTCGTAGAAATCACGTAGAATCGTCGACGAATTGGGTCGAATTTGGTCGAAGTTACATTTCAACCATTTTTCGACGTCTCAAAATTCACCAAAACACGACCAATTATTAACTTAGGTCGATGATAACCAATAAATGACGTCATTATCACGTGAACAGATGACGAAATTTTTAAGAAAATATGAAAATATAGTGATAATTAATAAAAAACAGTTGGCCCATTTTAATGGGCCGACAAAAAGTTTTGGAATATTTTAAAAACAAAAATTATTATTTTTATTTAATTTACGTTATTTCGACGGAGAATCAACGTGCAATATTTTATTAAAATAATTTTAAACATTATTTGGTTTTAAACTAATTAAGATAGATTAATAATTATTGATCAATGGATTTTTTAAAACAAATTCGCGATTTTTAAATGCTTTATCATTTTATCACAAAATAAGAAATTAACATGTTACTGCAGTTGACAATCACAATTTTAATTTTAGTAACATTATTTATCTACAGTGTTGCCAGATGTTTTATAATTTTCTTTTTTAAAATAGTAAAATTTAAATAATAATCGATAATTGTAACATAATTTAATCCGTCGCGTAGTTTTGCTTGTTTTTATACAATTTTTGTTTTGATAATTTTATATAATTTTCTGTAAATTTGATCATTTTGTCAACCCTCTTCGATAATATTAATTTTTACACCTGGCAACCCTGTTTCTCTTTGTCCTTGTGTAAGTTGGCACTACTTACAAAGCGAGGGAACGTTTATTCCTAAAAAAAAATATGGTTGATTCGAGCGTCCAACTTTTATAATCTGTGGCATTTATACATAGAACAAACCATTTATACTGATAATACTTTGGCTGTGTCAGGTAGGTCAGTTTTTGTTTGTTTATTAATGTTTTAATTACTTAGTATATTCCGTAACGAAGTCATAACACCTAAATGAAGTACCTACATAAGCTCCTAAAATATTGACCTGTCATCTGTCTTAAAATTTTATGTGTTTGATTTTATAATAAATGTTTTGAGCAACTTAAAACATGTTTTATTAATTATTAAACCAAAATTTTGGCTTAAGCCCTTTATGCACTGGTAAAAATAATTATTTATTCTTAAATCCGATATTTTAATGCCATATATATGCCAGACATATGTATGTGTTTCTGCAAAGATTAAATAACAAATTTTTTTTGATATTCTACTTTTTTACATACATTTATTTTGATTATTAATTATTTACTAAATATATATCTACTATAGTAGTATATATATACTATATATAGTAGGGTTTACCTATTTATTTCTTAAAATTTAAAAGTACAACTAAATATTTTTTGTTTTTTTAATTTTGACAAAATCAAATTTCGCATTGAAATATCT